CTTAAAAACACAATGATGAGGTATATAATAACATTGTCCTGAAGGTGTATCCAGATCATCACTGGGAATAAGCTCCATATGATTGATTAAAAGATATTCGTCCATGAAATCACAATATTGTTTTAGGATACTTGGAGATTTTTGTAATTTTCTTTCAAGTGATAGAAATCGTTTCAGAGCATTGATCCTAGATTCGCCAAGAGTTGGCAATGTTCTAAATGGCAGCCCAGCAGAGTACCTTCCATCTTCCAGAATTTTGAGGTTATTAATATATATTTCTTCACACAAAATTTCTTCTCTGGTTAAAGATTTGGCAGAGGGTACTGACTCCAGCTCCCAGAATTTTTTGAGAAAATCATCTTGTTCCTCCGACGCGAACATAGTTATATCTTGATTGGAATTTTCACCTGCCAGTAATATTTTACCTGTAAGTAACCATCCCAATTTGGATCCGCACGCAGTGGGTCCAGATAAATTTTGGAATCTAACCTTCCCGTTAAATAAGCATGGAGCAAGCTCTGCTCCTATCACTAAATCAATCTGGCTAGATTTGTCAAAATTGAGGTCAGCCAGCAGAAGATTTTTCAAATAAGGCCAATTATCCTTTTCTATAAAGAAATTGGGCAATTCTGATGTGATCTTATCAATGACTATAGGATTGGCGTTGAATATTAGGTTTGAGAAATGTGGGCTAAATTGGAGAGAGACCTCACCCATTGATTGTTCTACAAGTTTGTTTCCCAAACCAAAAACTGTAGTTTTACATTCAGCAAGAGGAGGATTTAATTTCTTTCGACAACTATTTGTTATAAGAGACACCTTTGAGAGCCTGTATCTATATGAGGGCTCTACATGTTTGTAGAACCCCATTTTCCGATTTGACCTTTATTAATGCCGTAGAGAGTAATATTCGATCATGACTTTTGTTGTCTGCAAAACATGAGACACTGGCATGGGTCAATGGAGATATGTCCGCAACAGGACTTAACATTTCTGGTTTGAACTGATGCAAAAGAGTATGATGTCTCTTATTACATGATTTGCAATTTTGCGTGACGAAGCATGACGATACTCTATGGTTAGATCTTAGACAGTTGTAACATAGGCGATTATCTTTTACAAATGTCCATCTTTCAGGTAACATCATACCATTAAACTTAGGACATTTTAACAAAAAATGTTCACCTTTACATAAGACGCATGACTTGACCTGCTATCTATACTAGAGCCAGAGGCAAATGTTGCTGAATGAGAATGAGTGGATTTATTCATTTTGTAGAATTGTTTTGAATTTTATTTATTCTGAAAACTCCAGAGACTTCCAGCAAATCTTTCCGGGAAAGAAATCATCTTTTCATACGATGGATATTCTTTCTCAAGCAAACTCATCTCCCATTCCTTTCTTATTGAACGATCAAGTTTTGATTGAATTATATGAATTAAAATCATATCTGATAAATTATTACGTTCCAATCCGAGGATAGAGAGATTCTGAATGCTTTCGTTACAAGTGTCCAGGAGATCAAGTAAATCTTTAGTCGATTCTTGTTTTACATTTTTTAGATCATACAAATTTTGAATTTGTTTAAAAGCCAATTCACTTTTTTTTTGTCGAATCTATTGACCAAGGTTTGCCAGGCAATAGGATAATTTTCATAAGAAATATTGAACGCCCTAATAAGTCTAGCGGCATTTCCTTTTAGTGCAGAATTTAAATATTGAAGTTTTTGAAAATTTCTCAGTGTTGGATTTTGATCAATAGATCTAATAAAAATTTCCTTAAAACTCAGCCAATCTGAAATATCACCACTAAAGGTGGGCAATTGAAATTTGGGAAGTTCTAAATTGGTTTCACTAGAAAATGTATTTTTTTTCAAATTTCCCAGCGATCTATTTATTTTTAGCAAAAAATAATTTATTTTAGACTTTGTGCCTCAAAGGATACCTTGAATTTTTCTTCAGCATCAATGCCTTTAAATTTTACTAATTTCACATATTGATTATCAAAGCTAGCTTTTAAATTTAACAAGTCTTCTTTATTTTGCATAAGTGCGTATTTATCATTGCCTTCTAAATTATATTCTACATCTGCTTTTATCAATTCTAAACTTTTAATCAGAGATTCAAAAATTAAGATTTCTGTTTCCATATTTTAAAGATTAGTATTCAAAACCTTACCTTTCTTTATTTCTATGGCTTCTAAGAACTTTCTATTTCTTCTACTTCTTTCCCGGGTTTCGGCACCAAAAAATGTTAGCACGTTTTCTTTGAAGTTTCTTCTAGAAAGAACGAGCTGACTCAATTCGATTCAATTCGATTTATTTCAAACAACAAAAGGGAATTACATTACGATTTAATGCGATTTAGTTGTATATAACACAAAAGAAAACAGAAGAATAAAATAATAAAAAAAGAATGATGATAAGAGTAACAATAAAATTCTATGAATTATATTTAATTAATAAATAACAATAATAATAATAAAAAATAAAACCTAACAGTCTGTATAGATCGCAGTTGGTTTTTCCATGAAATTCCATTCTTTCAGCTCTCGTAACAGGTTTATTATCCACTTGATTTGACAGCAGCTTTCACAATCAGCTATCATTTCCGCTTCCATTGTGGAGAGGGCGACGAGTGATTGTTTACTACTTTTCCAGTCTATAGTTGCTTCGCCGAGCTTCAATACATATCCGCCGTAGGATTTTCCATCATGAGTGGTCGACCAGCTGGCATCGGTGTAGGACTTCAGGATTCCAGTCTTCCCTCTTTCAAATTTCACTCCTAGGTCAATTGTTCCTCGTAGGTATCTCATCACTCTTTTGATTGCTGTCCAGTGCATCTGTTTTGGTTGCCTGGAGTTCTGTGAAAGTTTGCTAGTGATGTAAGCGATGTCGGGTCTGGTGTTAACAGCTAGAAACATTAGCATTCCAAGGGCTTCTTGGTAAGTGTGCTGATCACAATTGTCATCTTCAATATGATTGTCCAAATTGATTTCTTTGGAACCTGGTGTTGGAAGTTCCTTACAATTTTCCATTCCATATTTCTGCAATATTTGTTGTACATAGTGGCTTTGCTGTAGCGAAATTCCCTCCTTGTCTTGTATGATCTTGATTCCCAAAAACATGCCTTTACATATTACATCCTTTATTTCCAGGTGATGTCTCAATTTATTGATGAATCTGTTTGAGGTATCTTCAGAATCTGAGACAGTGATAAAGTCATCAACATATATCCCTACATAGAAGTATTTGTCTTCATTCTTCCATTTAAATAGGCAAGGATCAGATTTAAGTTTTTCCAGTCCACAGTCATGAAGTACTTGACTGAATTTCTCATACCACGATATTCCGGATTGAGGTAGACCGTAAATACTTTTGTTGAGTTTGCAAACTTTGTTTCTGTCTTTAACAAATCCAGCAGGTTGTTCCATGAATATTGTATTTTCAATGTTTCCATTTAGATAGGCTGCTTTCACATCAAATAGTTTAATGACTGAATCTTTTGTTGCTGCTATTGACAAAATAGTCCTGAGGGTGGCATTTTTAATTACAGGGCTGAAACATTCGTTGTAATATCTTCCTGGGATTTGGTTGTATCCCATTTCAACAAGTCTAGCTTTTAAGTTTTGTTTTCTTGGTCTTTAGATATTTTGAACACCCATTTACTTTTGACAACTTTAGCGTTTACAGGTCTAGGTACCAGTTCCCATACTTGATGCGAGTACATGTTCTGTATTTCCTCAAGCATTGCGTTCTCCCAATGTTTCTTGTCTTCGCATGCGATGTCTTCTTCATAGTCTTTCGGAATGGTTTTATTCGTAGTTACCAGAACGTAGTCATCAAATCTTTTAGGTATTGTTCGAGTTCTTTGTGGTCTGTCTGATCCACTTGACTCTGTCTGTCTTTTGATAATGGTATCTGGTGCTGGCTCTTCAATATCAACATCTGATAGAACACGATTGTCCAGTTGTTCATCCTCCTGAATGAAGAAATATGTGTCAGTGTCCGTATTATTATCACTTTGTTTTTCTTCCGAGATGACATTATTGTTCTCTCTGAAGTGAATGTCTGCGGTTTCAAGAATGACTCTCGCTGTGATATCAAATACTCGATAAGCTCTTCTGCATCTTGAATAGCCCACAAATATTCCTCTCTTGGATTTAGCTTCTAGTTTGTGTCTTTGATGATTCTCGAGTTTATAGAAGACTTCACAACCAAATCTCATGATGTGAGAGACGGATGGCTTTTTACCTTTCCATTTTTCCATAGGGGTAGTGCCTGGGTCATTGGTTGTGGGAGTTAGATTGTACAGATATGCAGCTGTATTCACAGCTTCTGCCCAGAAGTGTAGGGGTAATTGGGATTCTGCCAGAAGTGTTCGGCCTTTGTCTAATAGTGTTCTGTTAGCTCTTTCAACTCTCCCATTGCTTCTTGGGGTGTACGGTGTAGTTAGTTCATGTTTAATTCCTTTGGATTCTATGAAGGTTTCAAGGTTTTTATTGATAAATTCTGTTCCGTTATCTGTTCTAAGTCGTTTTAGTTTTGAGTTTAGCTCGTTTTCTCTCTTTATAATAAAATTCTTCAAACCATCCGCTGCTGAGAGTTTATCTTTGAGAAATTCTACAAATATTCTCCTAGAAAATCCATCTACGATGGTCAAGAAATATTTACTTCCGCCCAAGGAGTTTATTCTCATTGGACCACAGAGATCGACATAAATGGCTTCAAAGGGGTAGCTTTCCTGATTGCTATCTGTGTGAACATAGGGTACTTTGGTCATTTTTTCCCAAGGAGCAAGCATCACATTGATCAAGGGTACCATTTATAGAGTCCAAGCCTTTTAGAAGATTGTAAAACGAAAATTAAAATTATACCGCGAATGTTTCTTTTAAAAATCGAAATTTATTTTCAAAGAGAAATAGCGACATTTCTAACTTTGAGGATGAGGTATGGAAAGGTGAAACATGAAGAGTAATGGAGAACGGAAAAATAAAAAGTGTCCAGGGGCGGGAATCGAACCCACACCCTTCTGCTTACCGGGCAGGTGCCTTGACCACTCGGCTACCCTGGACGTATTTTTCCGTTCATAACTTATATTTAACGTAACATTTAAAATACAATATAACGCGGCTGATGATTGTAAAACGAAAATTAAAATTATACCGCGAATGTTTCTTTTAAAAAGATTGTTCTTCAAAATCAGGTCTAATTTGTTGTCACTAGGATGTCCTAACCTTCTGTGCCACGCAGTCCTAGAATTGTCCTTTGATATCAAGCAATGTTCATTTGGAACATGAGTTGCTTCAGATAAACGTGATAGATTCGATGTGTACATGTTACCATCAAAGTTGCCTGTTCCTATTAGCTTGTCATCAGAAGAGTATATATATGCTCCTTCAGAATTCAAAAGAACAGAGTTCCCTCTTCTTACCACGCTTGGAATGGACATTAGATTTCCTTTCAGGTGTGGTACATGGAGGACATTATGTAGGGTTACAGCGTTGTTAAGTTTGTCCTTACCTTGTACAGTAGCTTGGATTGATCCTTATGAGGCAGATTCGATGTGTCTTCCTTCTTCCGCCACTTGTATGCTTCTTCTCTCCTCCGTCTTGTGCTCGATCCATTCACCATGGGAAGTCATGTGGCTTGTGCACGCAGAATCAATTATCCACACGTCCTGTGTCGTCGGGCGTTCCTTCCTTGTGCTTGCATGTAGTGCGTATTCTGAAGTGGAGTTTCTTCGTTGGGATGGTTCCTCCGTTCGTTCTTGGATTGCTGATCTGGCCGTGTCTTTGTTTTGTTTTGGTCCTTTATGGTAGTTCCTTGTACTGGCCATGTTATTTTTGTTTGTTGTATTCTTTTGAGTTTCTTTGTTGTTAGGGTTGAACCAACAGACTTTCTTGAAATGTCCTTTTCTTTTGCAAATGAGGCATGACTTTTCTTTGAATTGGTTGCCTGATGATCTGAAAGCATTTTCATGATTTTTGCTTCTGTCCTGTCTTTTCTTCTCGAAATCCAGTAGAGTTTGTCTCAAGTATGGTAAGGAGATTTCTCTGTTTATTGACAGTGCTGCTGTAATCGTGTCAAAGTTAGGTGTGAGTTCTTCAACAATGTATCGTACAAGTTCTCTTTCTGTTACAGTCTTTCCTAGCTGGGTGATCTCTTTTGCCAGTTTCTGTGCTCGTACAATATACATGTTAACATTTTCATTTGGGTTCAATTTTAGTCTGGCTAGATCCAACATTAGGTCTATCCTTTTATTTTATAGAGATCCTTCAAACCTTTTCTTTATGTCGTACCAAATTATTTTGGCCCTTTTATCGCCTCGAAAGATGATTGTTAAGTCATCCGAAAGTGACAATATTATTAGGCTGTATGCTTCCCGATTCTTTTTCTTCCAAATATCATATTATAGTTTATTTTTTGTAAAGTCTGGCTCGTCATTAACAATTACGTCCTCGAAGAGATCTTTTGAATCTAGAATTGCTTCCATTTTCATGGACCACGTTGTATAGTTGTTTTCTGTTAACTGTTCGATTTTTGCTAAGTTATGTGTATCCATTGTAGGCGCCATCCCGACCAGAGAGCCACAGATAAACAGATTATAAACGCACAGAATATAGAATCCGAGCTCCCCAGTAGAAGGAATACCCGGAAGACGACGGTACTCTCTGTTATATGTGTTGTTCACTATTATGTTTTTGTTTTAATAAACGCTACTAAATTATTTCATTGGATCCTCTCTTTCTTTTTCCCAGTAAGAAACGCCTACGGAAGCCAACAGAAATTCAGAAGTGGGATGGTCCTGAAGAAAATTGAAGATTCACTGGAATAATTTGGAAACGAGAAGGACGTGGCGCGGTGACCGATCAACGTAAGAGGAGTTGCATGGTATGTACGAAATTTAATTACCTATTCCTAAAAGTATTATTACAAGTCACCTCGACAAAAGTATTATCGCAAAGTATCGCGGTAAAAGTATTATTGCAAGTCATCTCGATAAAAGTATTATCGCAAAGTATCGCGGTAAAAGTATTATTGCAAAATCATCTCGATAAAAAGTATTATCGCAAAGTATCGCGGTAAAAAGAAAAAAAAAAGTATTGTCTCAAAATTACTAAAGAAAAGTTGATTTCGTTTAAAGAAATAATTGAAACAGTACGTATCTGGTTTAGTCAGTTTTATTTGCTTATTTTAAAAATTTTTTGCTTTGTTTATTTTTCCTTTTGAAAAACATGACTTATTTAGCGAAAGTAAGGAAATGCGATTTGAGCAAGTTGGCGTATGAACTCGGCGAGGTAGTACCGCCAGAGAGCAGGATCGTCGACTTAAAACACCTTATTTTGAATAGCCAATCTTACGAAGAAGAGTTCGCAAAGCAACTGTTGGAGACTCTGATCGAGGATCGGGAACGAATCGAGGAGCGGGAACGAATCGAGGATCGGAAACGAATCGAGGATCGGGAACGAAAAGAACAAATGGTAATGGAATTCGAGCTTGAGAAGCTGCGCATCCAGACTACACGCGGAAACAACGATACGTCTCGAAGTACCAGCAATGACGCACATTACGAGATACGTAAACTGATGCCCAAGTACGAGTCGAAGGACAATGATTTGAGTTTTTACCTAATTCTTTTCGAAAGACAGGCAAAGCGACTAGGATTGGATGAAGACCAATGGGCGTTCAGCCTCCTAGGATTGCTACCTTACGAAATGACTCAATTCATCGCTCGGGAGACAGAAGAACAAAGCGGCGATTATAGGTTCGTGAAAAGGTTGCTCCTAAAACGGTACAAGTTGAGCCCCGAACAATTCAGACAAAAATTCGAGAAGCACGAGAGATCTCAAAAGGGTTCCTGGAGAGACTTCGCTTTCGAATTGCGAGGATATTTCAACGAATGGATCGAAGGAATGAACGTGGAAAATTTCGACGCCCTAAAGGATTTGTCCGTCACTAACCAGCTAAAGAAAAAAGTTCCAAATGTGCTGCGTAATCATCTCATTGACGATTGGACCAAGTTAAACAACCCAGATGAGTTGGCGGATAAACTGGACGAGTACGAAAATGTTCGCACCGAGATGGGACCTCCGCATTGGAATGCGAAACACCTCATACCACCGTCGTTTCAGCAGAAATCTGCGAGATTCCCCAACCAAAGCGAAGTTAAAGAGACTAAACAAGGAACGAATGTTTCGGGTCAAGACGCTGCAAGGAACGAAATCAGTGAAACGTACCCTAACACCTTGAGGAAAATGGTCAACCGTACGATCAGAAACGACAAGGGAGAACCGAAGTGCTTCAACTGCAATCAGTTTGGACACATTGCCAGAGACTGCCCAGCACCCAGGACTACGTTGACATGCCGAGGATGCGGTCAAACGGGACACAAGGAAAGGAATTGCACAAGACCCAAAGAAGGACTAAAAGTAGCCAACCTGGAAGTCGAAGGACTGGAGACTGTCCCACCAGATGTATATTTGAAGGATGTCAATATCGACAACAAGGAAACCGTGAAGGCAATGATAGACACCGGGAGCAGCAGTTGTCTAATGAGAGAATCGGTCGCAAGGAGGATCAGCGTCGACATCGAACCAGACTCGACTAGTCTGTACGGCATCGGTAACCAGACTGCACCAGCTGCCAGGACCGTTGGGAAGACGACAGTCGACCTGGAGATTGATGGCATCGTCGGAAGGGAAATCACTGTATTCATTGTCAACGATGATGCCCAACCCTATGACCTATTAATTGGAAGAACATGGACAGATCTGCCCTACGTATCCTTCGCCAGAATTGGTAAAAACTTGCATATTGGCTATTCATCCGAATTTCCGTTTGCTAATCTGCAAGAAGAAATCAAGTCGCGTCGCATCGAACTGAGAGCAACCGAAACTGTTCAGTTGGAGAGCGACTCCATTAACTTTACAAGTGCAATCACAGACGAGGTAAAGGACGGATATGTATTGTTCACAGGAGTAGATGACGCCTGTGTCGATTCCCTATTGGAAGTGGTCGATTGAAAGACGACCGTACCCATCATCTCAGCTGGCAAGGGCAAGTTGAGAGTAAGGAAGAACCAATGTGTAGGGTGAGTTGAACTACTGAACCTTGATGATATTGTTGTTAACCTGGACGTCGCAGAGGATTCGTTTCAGACTAAAAATGAAGAGAAGAGGGAAGGACAAGACCAAATGAAACGTAAGCGCCCCATACTGCCTGAGGACATCAACGTCAATCATTCTCTGACTTCGAAAGAGAGACAAGAAATCCTAGATGTAGTAAACGAGTATAGAGACTGTTTCGCTCTTGGCATGGAGGAATTAGGGTGCACCGATGTCACCAAGATGGACATTAAGGAGGTTGATGGAAGCAAGCCAGTCTGTCTGAAACCGTATAAGACGACTGCAAGTGAACGCGAAGCAATCAGGGAGATTGTCAGAGAGTGGAAGGACAATGGAATAGTCACGGAAACTAGATCACCCTACGCTAGTCCCGTCCTACTTGTGAGGAAGAAAACTGGAGATCATCGTCTGGTGGTAGATTATAGGAGACTCAACATTCAAACAGTTAAGGACAAGTTCCCATTACCAAGGATAGACGACCTTCTGGAAGGCCTAAGGAATGCGAAATTCTTCACCACTCTGGATCTGGCGCATGGATATCTGCAGATACCACTGACCGATAAGGCAAAATTAAAGACAGCATTCATCACCCCAGATGATACAGGTCAATTCGAAAGGATGATTTTTGGACTCGCCAACGCACCAGCTGAATTCCAAAGACTTATGCACACTGTCCTAGGTCCGCTGCTGAACAAGAAGGCATTCTGCTATCTCGACGACGTGATTATCCCGGCAAAGGATTGGCGGGAGATGATCGAAAGGTTGAGGGAAGTCCTCGAAAGAATAAGATCAGCGAAGTTGACACTGAAACCCTCCAAATGTGAGTTCGGAAGGAGGGAAGTTGAGTTCTTAGGGTATGTCATCAGTACAGGCGGACTTAAGCCAGGCCCAAGAATGATCAAGGCGATAGAAGAATTTCCAGAACCCAAGAATGTCCACGACATAC